ATTCCCACACTCTTCACAATTAATTTATCATCGAAAAAAATTAAATAAAAATACTCTTTCTATTTATCATCGAAAAAGATAATTAATGCAATTTTAATAATTAATAATTAATTTTCTATTATTGCACAAACTAAGTGACTTCCGTGATAAATAAATTGTTATTATTACTTGAAGATCTGGGTTTGAGTACCATAGATGTCAGGAGTATGAGCGTTCAATGTTGAGAGGTTGAAAGTTACTTTTTAAACAGATACTATATTGTACTTACTTCAAATTTATAAAAAGAAATTTATTCATGATTCAGTGAAATAAGATAATAACTGTTTACAGTCTTTCTTAATCACTGACAACACATACTACAAACATAATTGTTTAAACGTAGAACCTTTAGAGAGAACAATAATCTTTTTATCCATTGAAATCACTCAATGAGTTTAGATCTTCTTAATCACGTGTATTTTGATCTAGTCTCATACAAGTGATGAATTTGAATTATAAAAGATTTTATTTAACATCCTGTTCGAACCAATTCGATCTTTAAATAAATTTATTTATAAATAGAGTAGATAAATTACCATTTGTACATAAAAGGAAAGCCGGCTCCCTTAGGTACTAAACATGTAGTTTAACTAAACATGAAAGTTTAGATACTAAAATAAAAAAAGCGATAATTTAGGTACTAAACATTTAATTTACCCTTAATTTTATTTGAAAAGGCTCTGTTAATTTTATTTTTACTATCCCATGGGATTTTTAACTTATTCTCATGGTTTTATGCACACAAGAAGCATGCAGAAAGATTATTCCTATTCCATTCTTTCATCAGTGTTACTAAGGTGGTTTGTTTTTACTGTGTAAGGTATGCAAAGCTCTTATGTTTGCATTGCGCAGACATTGGGCTTCGCAGACCATTTTTTTTAGAAGACAGAAGCTCTTCTAACATCTGCGCGTGGTCTGCACGGCGCAGACGCGGTCTTATATATGCAGACATCTTCTTACCTCTTCAAAGAGGTTTTATATTTAATTTTATATTATATTATATTATATTTGATTTTAATTTTAATATTACTATTAATTTTTTAAATAAATTAAATATTAATTTTTTAATATTATATTATAGATATTAAGTTTAATATTAATTTTTTAAATAAATTAAATATTAAATATTATATTATAGATATTTAATTTTATATCATATAAATTATTTTATATATTATTAAAATTTTATGTTTATTTTAATTATTTTTATTTAAGTTTAAATATAATATTTTTTTGGATTTGTTATTTTTAAATTATATTTAACTTTTTTTATACAAAATATAAATATTTAAACCACATTGCTTAATAAAAAATGATTTCATTGTTTGATAATTAAGATTTTAAAATATAATCACAATTAAATAAAAAATAATAATCATAAAATAATTTGATAAATTAAAAAATATTTTCTAAAAATATCGTATAATTATAAAAATAAATTATGAATATATATTTAAAAAAATTAAAAGTATTACATAATTGCATATTTAAAAATATCATATAATTTAATGATCATTTATAAATTTTATTCTATAAAACTTATAAAACTAATAATACATGTGATTATGTGAGACTTATAATAGAATTAATAAGGTGGTGTTTATTTTTCTAAAAAAAATATTATTGTAGTTGTATGAATTATTTAAATTTCAATATTCTAAAACTAAAATTATTTAAATCTTAGTATAGCAAAACTCTTTTAAGTTTAAAAAATCAGTTTATTTATATTTCAGTTTATTTTAACAGTCTGTAGACGTTAAAAAACGAACAGTCTTCTTCTTGCAAACTACAGACTTTTGATCTATATCTTCTACTGCAGATGCCTGCAGATGTGATCCGCATACTGCAGAACTTTTATCTCTGTAAAAACAAACACCACCTAAATGACAATAGCCACGGGCAGACGTTCAACACTAGTGTCCTTTTATAATAAAATACAGAGTTAAAATTTACTCCTATATAAAAAAAATTAAAAATTGTACTAATTTTTTATATCGTTAAACTAAAAGGGTTTAATATCAAATTAAAATAAAGTCATTTTTTTTATATCTGTAAAAATCCTTTTCACAGAGTCGCCAAATTAGATGTCGGAAATCTTTCAGTTGGATCGATAACTTAATACTACAGGAGGATCGCTATGATTCATTTTGTTCAGTTTAAAATAAAATGATCATATCCACTCCAACATCTAAAAAGGAATGGTCCCGTAATTAAATGATGCTGTCAATTCTATAAACATACATAATCATTAAGATCATTGAACATTGCCCATTTAAATTCATTAATCATTCCATTTCATGCTGACATTCAAAGTAACAATCTTGTTCTTTAAGCATAAGAATGCATTATCTAAAGGCAAAACAAAATGATGGAATAACATAAAGAGCATTAAACATAGAGACGAATAGTCATTCCCCCCCCCCCAATGTTCATTATGTAAATCCTTTTAAAAATAAAGTTTCGATTAAATTAGGGTCGACAAAAAAAGTAATTCTATCGATAATTAATACTTAATGACTATATTCTAATTAAATAAAAAAGAAAATAATTAAATCTTATGTATTTATAATTCAATAAGAAAATGTATATAAAACTTAAACGAAAGTATTCAATCATATGATTTACTTTTATAATTATAACATATTAATATGATTATGATCCGACTTTATCAGTATAATATATAAATAAATTATATATTATAGTTGGAATCAATCGTTACAAAGTATAAATAAACTGATAACCATTATTTTTTTCAAGTGCTGAATATATTTTATAAAACCATTTAACAATCAATAAAAATTAAACATTGAATATAAATATGTGGTTTGATTAAAAAGTTAAAAGTAGCAACTAGGGTTTGTTTTCTTTTTCTCTCTTTTTTTATAGTTGCCGTTAGTCTTTTTTTTTATCTTTGTGATCGATAGTGACACTAGTTTTGGTATTGATTGTCGATCGTCGGTTTTTATTATTTTTCCTTTAATTTTTTTATAGGATATCGTTTTTTATTATTCTTAATGATTTTACCTTTTTGACACGTATTCTTCTACCTTTATGACACTTTTTATGTTGTTTAACAATTGTTTTCGTTTATTTTTTTATGTTTGGATTTGACATCGTCACAATTGATCAATATGACACTTATTTTTTATCATGATGATCTTCTCTGCTTTGGACCTTCGGATTGAATTTGAATATATGATTTGTGTTCATGGATAGTATTTTCACATTGCTCAATTCTGATTTGTGTATTACGGTTGTCTTTCAATACCTTTATTCTCTTTTGTAGTTTGTTTGCCGATTCAGTTAGATCTATTCGTATTTATCTCTTGTTCGAGTTTATCTGGTTAAGTTTTTTTTAACATTTTCCTTATATTTTCCTTGTATAGTTTTATTGTATTTAGGAAAATATTCTTATCATATGTTTATTTTACTGTTGTGGTTGTAAACCTTCATTGTAATTTAAATATTTTTTATTTTTAATAAAATCATCAGCTTCTTTTAAAAAATATAATCTGATTACTGTAAATCTTAATTTTAAAAATTATTTATTTAACTATTTTAATATTATTAGAATAAAATATCATTTTGTATAAATTTATATAAAAATTTAGAAAACAATAATTTAAATATATCATATTTTAACACCATATAGACACCGAATCTTGTTTGAATCGAGACAAGTTACTTAAAATTTTCTCAAACTAGAGGCTTTAAATTAAATTAAATTTGGGCGTGAAAAGTTGGAATTGAGTTTTAGATCAACTTGTTTTGGGCTTCAATCGATGTTTGGTTAGGCTCAAATTTATTTGGGCTTTAAATTTGAATGTGAGATTAAATTTAATTTGGATTATTTTGGGGGTTTTTTTCATATTTTAAATAAAAAATATTTATATTTATTAGTATATGCTACAAATATTATTATTACACAAATAAAAATATAAAAAGTGATAATTACAAAAGACCCTAATGTATTTTGCAACCATTTCACCTTATAAGATGGATGCAAAAAAAGAATGAATAAGGAGGTCAGTAACCTCAACAAACTCGATCTAGAATATTCAATAAATTAAAGAATGTCGTATTCTTTCTATTAGACCTAGCCACAAATTAAAATTCAAAACTAATACTCAAATTTATAGAAATTAAAATAACCAATTTAGATCAAGACTAATATTGTACGTGTTAAGAACAATTTTACAAAAGTAAATGAATTATACAATAACTAATTTTTTTAGAGACTAAACTGAACAATGGTTAAGAATCAAATTATAAAAAATAGAAATAAATATGAGTCAATTTCAGCTTCAATACATTTTGAAAGGTTAAACTAAATAAATATATTATAATATTAAAAATATTGAACAAAATTATAAAAATAAAAAATAAATAATTGGATCAAATAAATTTTAAGAGACTGAAGTGAAGACAAATATTACAAATTAAAAATAATTTAATAAATTATAAAAAGTGGAAATAAATGGGGGTTAATTTTGAATTAAATAATTTCTAGGGACTAAAATAAATAAAAATATAAAATTAAAACTAAATAAGGGTCAGTTTCATATTAAATAAAATATTTCAGGGACTAAATTAAACAAAAGTAAAATCTAAGTGACTTAATATGTAATTTAAAAAATCTACAACATTTTTCAGTTAAAAATACCATACGATTTGATTGGTCAAAATCTTTTTCAAATAATGGAATAAAACAATTAATAAAGGTAAACGCTAAAGCATCTAAAAAAATAGAAGGATAACAAAGATAGGGTTTAAGAAAAAACAAACTTCGAAACAGATTTTAAATTATAAAGCTATTCCGTATATTAATAAATATAAAATGCTTAATCTGCTTATATTATTGGATAACAGAAATTATTGTTTTTTTTAACTCTCAACAAATGAAAAAGGAATATGATGTAGTTACAATCTCTTCCCCCCAACTGGTAGGAGACAAAGCAAAAACAAAAGGAAAAAAATGTTTGAATCATTCATATGAATTTTCATGACAAGATTAATTCACACTTGACAATCTGATCTAATGAAGTTACCAGGTTGCTCATGCTTGGTCTTTCACTGGGATTTTCCCTCAACGAAAGCTCGGCCAAATCCGCGAGTTTAAGCAACGGTTCCACATTTCTCGGTAGTGCAATGTTCCGGTCGATAATGGCTGCTGCCTTTCCTTTCCTTATTAGAGGCAGGGTCCACTCAACAACTTCTGGAGGCGTGCAGTCTATATCATAAGCCTTCCTTCCACTTAATATCTCCAATAGAATGATTCCGAAGTTATAAACATCATCCTCCATATCCCCACTCACATCCGTGCTTGTATTAGCACTTACGACCCGAAAATAGGCTATCCTTGCACCCCATTCGGAGTCCAAAAGTATATTTGAAGTCTTGAGATCTTGATGAGTGATAGGGGGTGTGACTTCATTATGAAGAAACTCAAGTCCTCTTGCAGCCTGGAATGCGATCTTCAATCGCAGGTCCCAACCTAATGGCGAGAGGTCCCCATGAAGATGGTCATGAAGTGCGCCATGAGGCATATATTCATATACAAGTAATCTTTCCCCCATTTCTGCACAGTAGCCTATTAAGTTCACAATGTTGGTATGCTTTACATTGCATAGTATTTCTAACTCTGCCTCAAAATCCCGGCTATTGGTGTGAATTATTGTAGCAGCATTAGCTCGCTTGATTGCGACTTGCCGACCATCAGGAAGAACAGCTTTATACACAAAACCAAAGCCCCCTCTTCCGAGCTCACTGAATTCTTTAAATCCATGAGTAGCATCTTTCAGTTCTGAAAGCCTATAAACTTGCGTCTCCCCAACATACGTCTTTAAGGATAAAGGCGGAAGTGGATTCGGATTGGGATCAGCCTCTGCAACTGGTTTGCCTATGCAAAAGCAACACTGAATTCTACGTTTGCCCTCACTTTTCACTTTGAAGATTCGAGTAAAAATACAGCAAGAAACTAGAATTAATAAGCAGCCCAATACAGAAGAACCAATGATGACCACCAACTTTTTAATCTCTAGCTGCTTTTGTTGCTGAGACTCAGACGAAAGTCCACATACATCCCAGCAAGAGCTGTTCTGGCAAAGTGAGCAAGGAGTGCATATTCGATCTGCATTGGCACTGCATGTACTCGAAGGGAAATAGCCCTTGGAACAATTTGCCCCACAAGGCAAGCATATCTTCAACTCATTCCGAGCACATAAGGATGTCAACTCCGGCTCATTAAGGATACTTGCATTGAAAGTAAAATTTCCATTGGCACATGATCTTGGAGAGCACACACCAGGGCTACATAGCTGCAAAGGTGGACTATAATCGAGTGAAGACTGCTTGTTTGTCCCCCAGCAATCAAGAACCAAGTCAACTTCTCGAACCCCGCAAATTGTGGAGTCCGATGAAGCAATAGCCAAAAAACCAGAAGCCTTTGGAACTGAAGAAACATTAATGCTTCTTCCCCAGCATTCCACTCCATGATCATCTTCACGAATGCCACAAAAATGTTGTCTGCCAGCCGATAAACTAGTGAACCGAGTCCTACGTGGTGGGAGATCAAACTCACTCGAATCACCCCAACATTCAACTTCACCAGACATCTTAGAAACCCCACAAATTGAACTTTTCCCAGAAGCTAAAACCTCAAACTCACTAGACGCATTAGAAATTCCCAAGTTGCTGGATTTTGGACCCCAACAAAAGATCAAACCACTTTCCTTAGCAACCCCACAACTAAAACCATCCCCAGAAACAATGTTATTAACAGAAACATTATTGGCATAATGATCACCAACAAAACTCATAGTCAAATTACTTTTACCAAGCGTTTGATGAAATTCCCAGCAATCCACAAAACCGGAATCGCCAGTTCTTGAAAAATAAAACCCTCTGATAGCACAAACGTGAGTTCTCCCAGCAGCTATCTGTGAGTAAGAATTATATCTAAAAGCTTTAGGAACAAGGTTTGTACCAAAATCCAAGGAATCCCAACAAAACGCTTGCGAGTTGTTCGCAGTAATGCCGCAGAGAAACCCTTCACCGCCGGAGAGAGACGCCATGGAAGGAACGAAGTCAAAAGAGGAAACTGAAGATGTTTTATTGGTTTTATCCCAACAAATGATCTCTTGTTCCCCGCCGGCTTCAATGGCGCAAAAAAACCCATTTTCTCCGAAAGCAGCCGCGATTGGGCCAGGTGATCCATAGCCAAAAGCTGTAACAAATAGCAAGGAAGAAACAACGATGAAGAAGAAAGAAACGGGTGCTACGAAGTAGCCATTTGTGGTTGTCATGTGTATTGTTGATCTTTGGGTTTTTTAGAAGAGAAGTTTTGGGGCAAGTGAGGTGTTTTAATGGCGGAGTTGAAATTGTGATTGTGAGGAGTAAGCATTGCTTCAGCCATTTTTATTTACCGGTTTCTCTAAGAATAATAATAATGGAGATTCAGATTAGTGTTTGACTTACTAAATAGGTAAATCCAATATTTAATCTGCAAATCAAGATTCAGATCTCTGTGGACCTGAAATTGGGCCGGGTTTTCTGAATACGGATCCTTTAATAATATTTCTATCTATTAATAAAATATAAAATTCAATTAAATTTATAAAGTTAAATATTTGTAAATTTAAACTAAAAAGGTTAAAATAATATAAAAACTCAACAGTTTAATTGATTCTATTTAAAATTATACCTTTAGGGGGTGTTTGGTTCAAGGATTGTGAGATTTTCATGAGATGGGAATCTCATTACCAATAGTAGTTTTTTTGGGGTATATTATCGGGAATGTCATTACCTCCATTCCCTTATGTATTGTAACATTACCGTCGTTTTGGACTAAAATGCCCTTAAATTTTTATTTTATTTTCCAAAAATATATCATTCTTCTGTCATTGAATAATAAAAATTCTACGAAGGTTAAATTACAAATTTATCCTTAAATTATTTTAGATTTACAAAAAAAAATATATAATTAAAATTTTATATGAAGTTCAGGGGTTAAATTTTTTTACCCTTTCATTAAGCCTTTTTTATATTTTTAATTTTGTAAAAAAATTATATAAATATTATGAATTTAATTTTTTAAAGAAAATATATAAATATTTTACAATTTGTAATATTATACAAATATATAATAAGGACAATTTGGTCAAATATACATTCCAATAATCTTTTATTTCTTTAACCAAACACGGTAATCTTACATTCTTACTAAACTAACCAAACACAAAATACAACATTCCCAGTAATCATATTCCCTGATAATCTTTTATTCCCACTGGTAATCTTACATTCCGTGAACCAAATGAACCTTATTATAAAAAATGATATACATAAGATAATTTGATAAAAGTAATTTATTAGAATCCAAAAGGGAATATAATCTGCACGCAGCTTGAAAATCCATACTGTGTTAAGTCTATTATCAAAGTTGAATCTATCAATGTTCCCTCGGATATAGGGATAGATCAAGTCGAAGGACGGTTGGATGTAGTCGTTTTTTAAAAAAATTGAAATTTTTAAACTATCATATATTTTTAAATATTTTTATTATATTTTTTATTGTTAATTTATTTTGATATCTTTAAAAAATTTCAAGTTCGCCTCTTCTAAAATGTTAAAATTCATTCATCCTAATATAAACTCATATATCTACCCATACTTTTAGAGTAAGAATTTGACAATGACGTGTTCAAAACCCTTTTTTTTCTGTTGTAGGCAATCTATTAGTGATAAAATCGAAAGTTTAATTTGATTAATAATAAGAATGGGAAGGAGTAACTGCAAGCAAAAAGCTTGAAAACACAAGAGCTTGCATTTGTATGCAAGGGAGGTAACATAGGGTAATGTAGGTCCATTTGATTCTGGTTTTCTGTCCCCATGTCTCCACTGCAATCTTTTATAAAATCAGATAAATATCAATCACTTTAAAGAAATTAGAGTTGTTTCTTTTTCTGCATTCTTTAGTATTGAATTAATCATTCTTTTGTCTCTTTATAATTCGTTCCATTATATCTCAACTCATCGAATCAATCAATCTAAACAAAAAAAAAACAAGCAAAAGAAATAAACTATAAATAATCAGTCATAAATAATCCAAAGTTATAACCTATAACTGTACTTAACTTTGCAATTTCATGAAGAAGAAAAACAGAGTAATAATTTCAATAAAACAAAGTGTTTGTTATAAGATTTAGTCAATGGGAACATAAGGCACATAATATGGTATTGATTAAAAAAAATAATCCAATTATTCTTGCATGTGCAGATTCATTGGCCCAATGAGATTCATGTTATATACGGATTTTTAGTTTTTCAATTAATTATTGATATGTTTACAGATTAAGCTATTCATTTGATCCGGTCGGTCAACTTAATTATAATCTAAATATTAAGGTTTTTTTATACTAAAACAGAGCACAAGTTGGGCATAAATGACGAGTGCTTGCAAATGTTCAAGTTGGGAACTAAATCTTAATTCAAGATTCAATTGACTATAACATTTTGGAGATTGTTAGTTCCAACTTATTTTTATGTACAATAACACTTAATTTAAGGATACAGTTTTAACATTATTAAAATCGAAATTAATTATTTTTTTCTCAGATTTATTCAAGTTTCTCTGTGTTTCTTTCGTAATAAGGCACAGAATCAAATCCAGTAACTATTCGTATGTACATTGATTGAGGTCACTGCTACTGAATTCCCAGTCTTTATTGCTCTTACATCGAAGGTTCGTCAGAAAATTCCATCATAAAACAAACATGCCGGTCCGATATGGAATCGAAGAACGGATTCTGCGTATTAGCTCGCGAATGCTTCCCACCAAAATACCGTGCTCGAACCATTTTTCTGTAATCTGGAGAAGAGGGAAAAAGTTAGCAATACAGTTAAGTTTCATAGCATTATGAAAGTTGTTCTACCTTCCTTATTGTTCCAAAGTGCCGCGGCATAGTTGTTGAGTGAACTCTCGGGATTCGGATCTGCGTGTAATGAAGTTCATAAACAATCAGCAGAACAACGAGTTAATCTGTTTCGTAGACGAAATCTATATTAATCTGACTCTTCATTTTACTTGGCGTATACAAAGTCGAATACATATATGCATACGAGGAAAAGCTTCAAAAACAAGTGAACATAGTGACATAAACATATCGGATATATACCCGTACCCTACACACACAAATGCGAGTAAGCCAGAATGAATCAAGTAGGGAAAGCAATCATACCTCCCAGTAGACTTTGAACAGACAAAAGAATGGTCCTACAGTCATAAGCAGAGGACCACTTATCCTGTAAATATATAAACGATGAATTCATGAGTAACTTGGATTACAAGGTAAACAAAAACCATATATACAAAGTGGAATTGATCCTGAAGAATGTCAAGGCAGATATTACCAAACTGATCCACATTGGGATGGAAGCAAATGGTCTCGAACTTCACTTGAGGTGGCTTGAAAGGATAGTCCGACATGAAATGCAAGGAAACCTTGTATGACAAAACCTTCATACATTGTTCCTTTTCCGCCCTCGATTGTGCCGATCCATGTAAAAATGCTTTCACCTTGCGGGAAAGCCGACACCCCAAGATCCCCTCCACACATCTGCAGATCAACACAATATACGAACACAATATGATTTTGAACGTAGAAGTGCAGAAAAGAATCACATACCATGAGATCCATCAGCTCCTTTTGAAGCCTGCAAAACAATATATATTAGAGAAAATCGCCTCAGTGACCAAAAATGCCTTATAATATACGATTTTAACCAACTTTTTTTGGATTTGCTAAAATGACCAACAAAATCGCAATGCGAAATAAAAATCGCAACGCGATCTCATGAATCGCAAATCAGTTCCCAGAATCGCAACGCGATTATGAAGAATCGCAATGCGATAGTACAAATTCGCATTGCGATTTTCCATAATAGCAACGCGAATATGAAAATCGCAACGCGAACATATAAATCGCAACGCGATTCTGACTATCGCAACGCGTATCTGTAAATCGCAACGAGAATACGTAAATCGCAATGCGTATCCGTAAATCGCAATGCGTATCCGTAAATCGCAATGCAAATACGTAAAATCGCAACGCGTATTCGAAAATCGCAACGCGATTTTTAAAGCGCCATTATAATCGCTACGCGTATTTTATTTTCAAATTCCAAACACGAATATTAAATTATCGGAACACTGAACCGTTCACAGTATATCCCGTAATCGCAACTCATAACCTAAAACCTAAAAAAATCACAACTCAGTCCCATCTCCATCTCTCACTCTCTACGGCGAAATCCGTCCCCATCTCCGAAGATTTCCGTCCCCATCTCCGGCGAAATCCCTCACAACCATTCACGGTCAGAAATCCCTCACAATCATTCAGAAATGGAAAATCAACCTCCGAGGGTTAGTTTTTTTAATTATTTTTATTTTGAAAATTTTGCATTATTTTAGGTTTTTCATATTGAAATTGATGATAAGTTTACTGATAATTTCAATAATAGATTAACCATTTCACTTAGATTTCTTATTAAATTCATTCGATTGCTGCCAATACTGCTAAACTGTTTAGTCTTTAACACTGTGAAGTTAGTATTTGTCTTTGTTTTGTCTTTTGGTTGAAGTAATGCAATCCATTAAAGTTTCAATTTGCAGAAGAAGAATAGTTTCTAAACTTAAAATCGCAACATGAAAATTAAAATCGCAACACGAAATTGACTATCGCAACGCAAAATGAAAATCGCAACGAGAGAATCGCAACGCGAAACCAAAATCGCATTGCGATTTTCATTTCGCGTTGCGATTCTCATTTCGCGTTGCTATTCTCTCGTTGCGATAGTCATTTCCGCGTTGCGATTTTCATTCTCTCGTTGCGATTTTCATTTCAACCAAAAGACAAAACAGTGTTGCAAATTTTAGTTTCAATAATAAACTACTACTCTTTATGTTTATTGTTTTTGGTATATCTTCACAGTGTAGTTTTTGGTATATCTAACTTGGTATGTTTATTGTTTTTGTAGAAATTTTTTTCGGCTTCATTGACATTAAGGAATAAAGTTAGCCTAGCCACTACAATTGCTTCGAAGCTTTCATCTGCACAAAGAAAATTATTTGAGGAAACCTGCTTCGGGCCATGGCTGAGAGTACAGTATCTGGGTGGAGATGCTAATTTGACCCATTTATGGCTTCAGACCATGACTAGCGATCTACCCGACAGTATACAACATGGTGAGGAAGAGATTGGTTCATTTTCCACCTGCGTATACTTGTTTTGGGCGGAAGGAGTTCTGCTTAATCACTGGTCTACGATTCGGACACGATGATGTAGGCCGGTACACTCGTCATATCACCCGCCCATCATGGTTATCCCGGGTTTTTCCTGATGAGTCAATAGAGAAGCCGAACTTACACGTCGAAGACCTGAAGAAATTGTTTAATAAGAAAGATGGTTTTACTCTGATGAATGACGTCAATGTTGTCCGAGTATGCCTTCTAGTACTTTTGGTTGCCGGCTTTTTAGGCAGAGAGGCCAGACAACCTATTCCTCAGGAGCTAATATTATTGGTAGAGGACCTAAATGCATGGAATCTGTTTCCGTGGGGTTCGTATAAATGGAAAGCTACCTGGACTAAGTTGTCGTCTGCCTTTGATGACCGCAAAAGTTTGCGTGGCGATGGGTGGGTCACTAATATTTATGTAAGTCTTATATTTTTCTTATATTTCAATTTGATTATTATTTTTTAAAATTTATGTAAGTCACTAATATATGTCTTTTTTTGTAAAACAGCATATCGATGCGTGGGTGTCACGTCTTCTAATAATTAGGAAACTTAAGAAAAATAAAAGAAATACACGATATACAATTATGCCGACGTCTTTTAACGCCGTTCACTTGAAGAATCAACGAGATGAATCATTTATGTTGGGCAATGGACAAGCTAAACTTTATCCTGCATGGTGGGAGGTCGATAAGGTTAGTATTTATTTTAGATTGAGTTTAAAGGTATTCATAAATAAGTGCGCAAATGAATGAATTATTACTTATGATTGCATGTGTTTATCCCTGTTTTGAAAAGTAAACATTGGCTTCTCGTCGAGCTTCAGCTCCCATCCCTTAAGGCAATAGTATATGACAACATGATAAATTACATATCATTGGCTGATTTAAGAGATATTATTAAGGGATGAAGCTCTCATTTGGCTAAATTCTTGGATGCGATAAATTATTGGACTCGTTCTGGAAAAAAGAAGCCAAAGAAGCTCAATATTACAGTTAGCAGAGACGAGACGCACCACAACAAACGAAGGAAGCCAAAGGGGATTGTGGTCCTCTCGTATGCATGTGCTTGGAGCGTTTGACGACAGGAAGTACACATTTTCTACCTCCCACCGATAGAGATAGAGGTGTAGTAGGCTTGTGGCTTCGATATTTTATGGCTAGAGCGATATATGCGAGACGCTGCCTACCTACATCCGCGTTATGAAAGTGTCCATAAACAATTTGTAAGTCAAATGCAAGTGTTGTTAAACATTTTGCTCTTTTTGGTTTGAAAATATTTGGTTAAGTAGCTAGAATTCAATAATTTGTTGTTTGTAGGTTTTAGATGTGTAGAAAAGTGTTGTTGATTCAATGTTTGGTTTCTGCAGGTTAATCCTGAAGTGAGCTGCGTGAAATTGATGTATGGGTGCAAAAGTTGATTTCATTATTATTTTTTGATTGTTTAATTGATTTGTAAATGTTGATTTGTTTAATTGATGTGTACATAATATTTGTGCTTGTTTAATTGATTGAAATGTAATAGTTGATTTGTTGATTTCAATCTGCATTATGTTGAATGCAAAACAGACTATCGCAACGCGGAAATGAAAATCGCAATGCGAAATGAAAATCGCAACGAGTGAATCGCAATGCGAAAATAAAATTTCGCATTGCGATTTTCATTTTCGCATTGCGATTCACTCGTTGCGATTTTCATTTCGCATTGCGATTCTCTCCTTGCGATAGTAATTTCCGCGTTGCGATAGTCAATTCCGCATTGCGATAGTCAAATGAATGTCTAATAAGTGATAACAACTGAACTTATCATAGCAATGTTCAAACTCAAGTTACTAATACATGCCTAACTGAAAATGTTAAAAGTTCACACATAATACAACGTTTGCATTTAAAAATCACCTAAGTTAACAGTCCCAAAAGGTGAAGCCGGTTGTGATTGGGATTTTGATGAGGATCCATATTTTGGTAGAGGAAAAGATGATTGTGATGGCACTGATGATCCACATGTCAACCTTGTATGACAACTTTCCTTGTACCGACTACATGTCGATCTCTTCTTCTCTTCACCCTTAGACGACATACGATCGTGACGTTTTGGTCGGCCAGGTAGCCTTTTGTCCATGGCTGGTGACAAAACTGTTTGTAAGTCATCTGGTATGTCCCACTCAGAAGGATGTGGAATAGGGTAGATAATCTCGCCATAAGTCTGTCGATATACTTATGTAGTGTAGCAATCCATAGCGTATGCGCTTGAATCATCTTGGTTTAGATGAAGAGAAACTTTTATAACATGGCCACACGGATAACCAGATGTTTTCCATTTCATACAAATACACGTCTTTGCATTTAGATCGACAAGCCCATTTAAGTTATTATCCAATACTTCAAACAAAGTGTTTGAACATGGTTCAACTCTTCATGACGTTGACTTCACAACATGTTTCGTTATCTTTTTTTTTGTCCATGGTGTAACATGATGTTCCAATGTTCCTGTAAATTTAAATAAATAATACTTAGTAAAAATATATGATAAGTTACGAATTTAAAGAAATAATATCTGCATGGTTTCTTTTCTTGTAGTACCACTGTTGAATAGAGGCTCGAAAAAACTCCATTAACATAGTAATGTGTAATTTTCGGGAATGATGACTTAGAGCGTTGATTGATTCTATTAGACATCATGAAACCATATCTTGCTCCAAGTTGATGTACTCTTGACCATCTTTCAAACCCGACATCTTCTAGTGTTTGAGCACACTGAGGCAAAACACGTCTTAAACAGTTTATATGCTTATTAAAATCCACTTCCCGATAAGCTTTTACAGCCTTCCAGTATGTCCATTTGTGATTTTTTATACCAGCAGACATTGATTTTAGATTTCTATACAAATGAACACCACAAAGTCCATGAAAAGCATCTGGGAAACACCTTCTAACAGTGTTGTCAATTGAGTTTGCCCTATCAGATATGATTGTCAGATTGGTAATAGGACCTATGCAATCCCTAAGATGCCCCATAAATCATGTCCATGAATCAGAGGTTTCAGATTTGCCAACCCCGTAAGCTATTGGTAGTATCCCATTGTTAACATCCATGGCTACTGCTAATAAGTTTACTCTAAGGTATCGACCTTTTAAATGTGCTCCGTCAACTATAATAACTGGGCGCATGCAATTAATAAACGAACGAATCTACAAAATCATATACACAAGAAATATAATCATTTAAATGTGAAATGCATGTAACTAACAAAAATGAGTCAACAAAATTATATTGATTTACTAACCGCAGCACCAATGGCGATAAACAGCAACTCAAAGTGTCCATCTCTATCTGTTTTGATATGAGTTACCGACCCAAGATTTTTCAGCTTTAAATTGTGACAATAAGCCGACAATTGGACAAACGATGCTTCTGGCGACCCCCTCAACAATTCCAAGGCATAACATTTGGCTCTCCAAGCTTGAGAATATGAGATACTAATCTTGAACCGAGCATTCATGTCAGTCATAATTTCATGTCTCCGATATACCCTACCATTCAAAAACATTAACTCAGCCAGAAAACCACCCAACACCTTTTTGTTTGCCTGTCTATGGTGTGGAAAAACTTGGGTTCTTGAACATGTATGTTTATCAATAAAAGTCCTAACTTGAAACATTTCGCAATCTTTTATCCTCTTTGCAATCATACGCCACATACAGTTTTTGTCAATCATACACCTTGTTTCGAAACGATCTTTGCTTGATTTGTTAACTTTAATGATAGCCATCTTTCCACACATTTCGTATACAAAGCTATCTTCAAGTCTTCATTTGTATCAAAACAATCATCTTTCTTGATACGAATAATTTTTGTGTAACAATCAACTGCTATCTTTACCAACTCTTCTTCCGGTATCGGAAGTAATTCTGGCATATTCCAGTTATACTCCCGTGGCATTTTCTTCGGGGACTTTTCTTTGGGGATTTATTCTTCTTCTTTTTCTTCTTCAGTGTTATATGAATTACAGAATGGATGTTCAACATGTTCATTTACAGTCGTAACTTCCTCCTCATTATCATCAACAACATCTTCCTCGGCAACAGCTGTTTCATCATCAAAATTCGGGTATTAACCAATATCAAAATCATTACACGCAGGGTCTGTTTCTTCTTCTGAAAAATCATCAAAATCCGAGTATTGACCAAGATCAAAGTCCGGATATTGACCAAGATTAAATTTCGAATACTGACTAGTACTCACAATTTTTTCTGTTGGCTCATCATCGTCTAACTGGTCAATACGAAAACCGGAATTTGGTGCTGAAAGTTGATTGGGATTTGGATTAGGGAAAGGTTGGGTTTTGAGATTGTGTTTGGTATTGGAAATGTGGTGAAACAATATTTGCTTGGTGATGAAATTGTGGTGGAACCATTAAATTTTGAGCACCATAAACTGGGTTGAAAAACTTAGTTGATTACTACCCGCTACTGACCCAACTTCACTACTTCTAGGTTTAACAACACACAATGTAACATCATCACTTGAAACACTAATGTAAGCAATGAATCGTTCAACATCTTCATTGTCGGTTAACAAATAAACTTTACCATTTCTCTGATAAGATAGCCTAAATCCACTTAGGGGCTCTAAATTCAATTTATTTGCAACACATAACATTAGAGTTTCATAAGTTAACTTTTTTAATGACAGTTTTAGTTGAAGATTCATGGGTAAAGGCATATATTGTAAAACACCATTAACATTCTCCCATGACCCTCCAAAACATAAATCTATCCAAACATGATCAACATTAGATGATTTCATTATTGTAAATTAATTTACTAAACAAACGAGCTGCGAAACTAAAACCTGTTGCCGGATGGGGAAGGATGTCGTTGGATATAGGAACGGATGTCACTGGAGAGAGTGATAGATGGAGATGGAATGAGTTGCGATCTAGGGATTTAGGTTATGAGTTGCTGCTGCTGCGTAGCTATATACCCAAAACATTTGTGTTGCGAAATTAAAACCTGTTGCGAATTCAGAAATCGAGTTGCGAATTTGAAATTCAGTATTGCGATTGTCAGAATCTCGTTGCGATTTACAGATTCGCATTGCGATTTACGTATTCGCATTGCGATTTACGTATTCGCATTGCGATTTACGGATACGCATTGCGATTACGTATTCTCGTTGCGATTTACAGATACGCGTTGCGATTTACGGATACGCGTTGCGATTTTACGTATTGTCGTTGCGATTTACGGATACGCGTTGCGATTTTACGGATACTCGTTGCGATAGTCAGAATCGCGTTGCGATTTATATGTTCGCGTTGCGATTTTCATATTCGCGTTGCGATTATGGAAAATCGCAATGCGAATTTGTACTATCGCATTGCGATTCTTCATAATCGCGTTGCGATTCTGGGAACTGATTTGCGATTCTGGAGATCGCTTTGCGGTTTTTATTTCGCATTGCGGTTTTGTTGGTCATTTTGGTAAATTCAAAAAAAATTGGTTAAAATCGTATATTATAAGGTATTTTTTGTCACTGAGACGATTTTATCTATATATTAATAGCAGTAGAAAAGATCATATATATATATATAAATGGAAAGTAGAAAAAGTTATCTCCGTGCCTTTGAGTAGCGGAAGTGGCGTCGACGGCATTGATAGCGGAAACGGGTTGTTCGTATGCAGCGGTTGCTGCATGGAGCCAATGCTGCTGCGGCGAGGTCGATGAATTGTCCACTGTTTGATTGGGTCGGCCTTCCATCGAATAAAGTTTGAAAAGATAAACCGGATAAAGTCAATGGTCAGAAATGAATGATGGAATTTTCGAATAAAATTAATCCATCAGTTTAGCAGTGGTTTTTTATCCTTGTGAAAGTGCATAATGCAGCCGGTTATGGAACTATTTTTAAAAAAACAAAAGTAAACAGTTCTTAATTTCGTTATTTTTTACAAGTTGGTGAGCATTTGGTTTTTCTATTAAATCGATTTCATCGTCTTTAATTTTTTTTTTAAACAAAATTGATCTAACCAAATAATTAAAATCAATATGAAAATCAGTTTTTGGTTGTAAAATCCAAAAGACAATAACTAACAAACTAATCTTATGACAGAAAAATGTCTTAAACTGAAACCGGTAGATTTAGTTGATTTTTTTTAATTTAAACCAAAAAAGGAGCACATTATACCCTATACGAAGACAATGTCTTTCTGCATCTTTTATTACCTGCATGATTTTTTTGCCGAAACAAAGCATGGTGTCTGGTTCCCAAAAGGAACACGAGAAAACAAATACGGCATACGGTCCACAACATTAAACTTTTGTTTTAAACACACAACAGAATTACACTATCATGCAGTAATGGCGGTAACTTCGGTGGACGAAGATGGCCTTGCCATTGCCACCTGCAGAGAGACTGGATCCCATTCAACATCTTTCCTGCAATCCCCGTTCTTAACGGCAACAATGTCTGACTGATTTGCACCACGGACGGAAACCGATGATCCCTCGATACCTAACTGTTTTCCCGCTACTGCTTTCAATCGGGACCGTTCTGCCCTAGAGCCAATAACCTGTCCTAATACAGATGCTGCAATGGTAAAAGCCATAGCTGTTTTCGGCATCAAGACGGATTTCCGAAGCATGGCTATGAATGGAACGGCTGCATGTATAGCCACAAACCAAGATGGTGAGAATTTTTCAGTGTGTTCCCGCCATATCCCTAACGGAACATTTGCTGCCATGCCTAACATCCCGATCACCAGTACTTTTGTGGGCAAGGATTGCGGGCGGAGATTCTTGGCAAACGCGGTTTGTGCTAGTGCTGCTCGAGCAGCAACAACTACAGGTGGGCACCTGTATTTCATCCCTGGAGGTGGCTTAAGAACCTTAGCAACTAGTGGTAAAACACCGCTAACCGCCCTAAACGACTTTGCAATCGGACAGTTCCCATTTTGCAGCCATTCATTGCCCAATGCTTCGTGATTCGAATTTCCTCCCTGAAAATTAGATGGAATGATGTCAAAACAATAATCCAAAATCTTCAGTAAATTTGTTGATTATTCTAACTTTGAATTCACAGGTCCAAACTAACGTCAAGAAATGAAAAGATCAGATGTTCAACTACCTGTGAAGAAGACTCTTTCTTGGATGATTTTGATTTTCCTTTCTGACTGTTCCACTTATTAGAAAATGCATCAAAACTGAAAGGCCCTCCTGGTCCAAATGATGAGAGACTAATGGTGGCTGCCTTTGCAGCCAAAGGATTGAACTTCGGTGGGGTTGTTTCAATATCTGCTTTCTCAATACGCAAGGAGGATCGTTCAGATAGCGGAACTACTCCATCACGTCCATGGAAAAGCCTGAATGCCATGTCGAAATTGGGACCATCTTCAAATATTGGACCTTTGGCTCCTCGAACCTTAGGCCAAGAAATAAAACCCTAATGAGAACTCAAGTAAAACACAAGACCCAACTAGCATAAAGCTCAAGACAGACACAAAATCATACCGGCATGGCGAAAGGCATGACAGTCGAGAAGGAAAAGTTAGTTGGCTCGTTAATGTTTCTCAAAAAATGGACATCTGAGAATGTCCATTTGGGAAGATGAAGAATCCTCATTTAGGCCTCTGAAGAGAAAATCCATTTCGAGCGTAATCTGAACAAAACCATTAAACATTTGAAATAAAATCTTAAAAGTGCTAAGGTTAATATATGACTCGCCATGTAAAACAAGTTAACTATCAAGAAAAAATTGATTGAACCCTGCATAAATCAACAGTTAATGTTAACAATCCAAGAGCAACTATAGATCAAAGAACAAGAGCCGCATATCTAAACGGTCCAGTGAGGAAATGGTATCAGTTGATCACAGAATAAAATCGAAGATATTGATCAGGTCAAAGTAAAGCACTCCTAACACAATAAGAAACATAGAAGCTTTTAAACGGCAGACTGGAAAACATTATGAAAATCCCAACTTCGGCTCTGTCAAACACATGTAAATTACAAAACAACTTGTGAATGAAATATTAGAGCCAGAAAATTACACCATGAATTGACACGAAAAAGTCTTAAACCGAAATCAAACATCTTTTATTGAGCCAATGCGGTCAAGAATGATGGGAGAAAATTGCCCAACAAATCAATATAAGTCGATCTTAAAGAAATATCAAATATGTTTAATCAAAGTCTAAGCAGTTGAGAATAAAAACTGAAGCTTTTAAACAGCAGATTATGGAAAACATAACTAAAATCACAACCTCAACTGTTATAAAAAACATGGAATTTACTAAAATCACACATGAACAAGGATCAAATCTCGGAAATTAATTAAAAAACGATATGATTCAGATCTTAAATCAAAATCACACATTCTTATTTTAGTCACATCAGTTGGGAATAAAGCCAAAGTTTTTAAACAGCAGATTGTACATTACTCTTTTAAAGACGAAAAAATTTAATAAAAATAATTACCATGAAGACCAAAGAACAAAAACCAGTAAAATATGTAACTGAAATCATTTTAAAATATAGCCAATAAGTAAACCAACAGATTTTAATAGAAATCCTGAATTTACTTTGAAAAATAATCTGTCATTAAACCTAGAAAAATCTAAAAAAATTACTAAAAAATAAAAAATTCTTGATTACTCCTCAGATCATTCACAAACAATAGTCAGACCGTCATAATTTCATACATGAACCCTAAAAGAACAAAATTTAGCTTAATCCTCCCCAAAAAAACAGTAGAAAACATTAAAAATAATAAGAACAAACCATGAAAGCTAAGAAAACCAAAAATCTACACAACTCATCTAAGAATTCGAAAAGATAAAGCGATGAAATTAAGTAAAATATATTACAAAAAAATCTGAAGAAAAAAATCCGTACCTTTTTCAGCTGGCAATTACAATTACGATATCAACAAGAAGAAGGAGAAATGAATAAAGAAAGAAGGAAATAAAATAATTTCTGGAAAGTGAAAACGTCGACGTTTGAGCACACGCCTTTGTGGGCTGGAGGAGTTGGTCAACCTTTGCGCGTGGCGGCCATAGTTTAACTTAAGTGTCGAATTTATGAATTATATTATTTATAAATGGTAATAAATTAAAAAAACAAAGGAAGTGTATTTCTTAGAAAATTAATTATAATTTGACTTTAAAAGAAATTAAAGCTCGTGTTTCATGTGGATAAGTCCCACGCCCATACTTTCACATGTCCTCGTGTTATATTCTTCGACAACAAAAAAAAAACATGTCCTTGTGTTATATTCACACACCAAACAAAATATTTTATATAAAAACTTATTTAATCAATAATTATAATTTATAAATAAATAAATATTTGTAATCTCGTGTTTAATTATTAGACAAATCTATTTTTTTAAATTATGTTTTAATAGTTATGAAATCCAATTAAATCTTGAAGATAATAAAAAAGTATTCATGTCAGATGAAATGATTTTTTATATTAATTATAGTTTTTAGATTTTTATAAAATAAAATTTAGCATATAAATATCTCATATTTAATTAAAAATTCATCAATGTTCGAAAAATGGAAAAGAAAACTGATATTCATTATTGTTTTTTCTTGCTTTCTTTCTCTTCGTTTAGGTTGAGTTAGGTATTTCTGCTGTTAGTTATAATTAGCTATTATTTATATGATCATATATCTTTCGAATCAATTTAATCCTTAAACTTTCAATTATAATACAAGTTATTTCAATTTAATCTTTTTCTATATTCCTGAAGAAAATTCATGTTAAATAGTGTTATTCTCATGTGGTGTAAATTTCTGGGTAAAAGTAACATAAGTAAAAAGTAGGAAATTATATAACCCTACAAGGAAATCCACCAGCTAAAGAGGTAGTTCTTCACAAATACAATAATGATGCATACTGTTACACCAAATAATATACCAAAATGTGCATACACTCAGAAAATTCTTCAAAAGAGATGCAGTAGCTTTTAGATCATACTTCACATATTGCATCCATATCTTTTTGTCGTACATATATGTTTACATTTGATCTGCCACTGAGTTTGAGCCGTTGGTCAAGCTGGAGCTTTGCTTCCTCTCGGCTTGAAGAGATCGGCACAACGATTCGAGTTTTTCTTTCTGATTCTTTGTCTTCTCCAGTTGTTTCCTCAATCGCTCACGCTGCTCAAGCAAAGATACGAGTGAGTGCTCGATAGCATTTTCGATATAGATACTAATTCTGGTGAATGAATGCTTAAAAAACGACACATTTCAAAACTATTTACCTCTTCCACAAGTTCTATGAGAGTAACATCTGATTTGTCACATTTGCTCTTCAAGAACAAATTTTCTTTCTTGAGTTGCTTGATTGATTTTGTCATCTACATTTGTACATAAAGGGGGGGGGGGGAGTAGGTAACTTCAAAATCATAACATAATAAGCTATTGCGTATGTTAATTAGACTCAAATGTGTCCGACGTGGCTCACACAGGTGTGTTAACTTTTTTCTAAGTTTCTCCCTGTACTTGGAGGATCCTAATATCCCTATTCCAATGTCTAGATATGCATCTGATATGAGTGTTGAACACAAATATTTAAAGAAAAATGAAAAGCCAAAGCAGCATAGGCAACCATTATGTTGCTCCGACTCTTAGTTTTTCTTGAAATGAACATATTTGACACCTGTATGGCTGTATTCAACATGGATAGAAGGATAATGACCCACCAAAAATACCCGTATAAGACACATACATACCCACATCCAACACTCACACCCGAGTCCAAGTAACAAAAGACAACCGCAAATGGCAATCGTAGATATATCAATAGAAAAAGTCAAAAAGTAGAGCTTTGAGGAAAGTGCCTCTCAAGGATAAAAGGTACATATACCTTCTCAATCTCTTGCTTAAATGTTTCAAACATCTCATTGCTCTTTACCAATGCATCCTGAATTAAAAATAAATTCAAACGTCATGAAGATGAGAGAGATAAATATCAACGGCATATCAAAAGGACATGGAAACACAAATCGGACTGCAATGGTGCCGCATCTCAGGCTGAGATTCTCGGCAGTCAATACAGAGAGGAAATTGGAAGAGTGAAGTGCATTCAAGGTCCAAGCATATCTATAGGAAAAAACCTCAAACATGAAAGATGTATCACTCTATATCACTCCGACTCTTCATTTTACCTATAGTATCCATGTCCAAAAAATATTAGCAAATGGGTACGGGATTGCTATCTCGTCAAAAATAGAAAGATAGAGCATACACATGTCCAATACATACTTGAATCTGACACCCATCCTCAAGTCTGAGTAACATAGAGATCACTTCTTAATTGCCTAAAAAGGCATTGCACTACTATTCTGTCAATGATAGCACTTTAAGTAAGATATCACTACTTTTCTGTCGACAAAATACTTCTTAACCGACAACGTTCGAAGTACAGCCATCCGAGACAAATGATACAAACACTCAAATACTGGAAATTCTATTCATCAGCCTAAACGCAAAAAGCTGCGAATGAAACCAAGATGAAAAGTGAAATGGAAATAATTTGACCTGAAACTGTTGGAATTTTTCTCCATCAGCTGTCAACTGCATCCGCAAATTCTTTTCAGTTGCCAATAACTGCGACACTTGCTCAGCATATACTTTCATCTGTGCTTGTTCCTGGATCAACTTCTCTTCGTGTTGCTTGATTTTCAGATCCGAAAGCTGTAGTTCTAGTGCTTTTTTCTTCAGCTGTGCATACAATGCCCGAAACATAAGAGTAAAGCTGACAGTCTTGATAATAGAATTGATTGGGATTTCAATATGAAAAACCTTAGATATACCAGGATGTCAAACCATACCTTCTGCTGATATTGTTGTTCAGAGAGAGCGTATTGATCAGCAAATTCCTTCAACTTATTTCTTAACCTATATATGAACAATTCCCCAAAAAAACAATTACGATTAACAAAAGGGCAGGCACTAAAACAATATAGCACCTGACGGGACAGGCATCCGGTTCCTGATTAAAACAGTCTGACCAACCAGTCCGGTCGGGTTTCTTCATCCTTCAACAGATGTCAAAGGAGGAAAAGAATATAGCAATTTGATAAGATTTCTAGTCTCATACATCTCATTCTCCTTCAGTTGAGATAGGCAATCTTCTTTCTGCTCTTCGAGCTTATTGCTGACATCCTATAAGAGGGAGAAAAATGAAATTAATTGTAGAATATCTAAGAAATGAAGAAAAGGAACTAAAAACAATAAGTTTCCGCAAAGTTATCCAAAGTTGAGGAAACATTTACACTTTGCACATGCCAAAACTCGTATCTAATTGCTTGCTATTAGAAGCAAACACAGACACAAACATGGGTATGCAAATTAGCGCACATATACGGAGAGAGGGATTGTTCAGTTATTTTTTCCTTCAAGTTTTTCCATAAAGGGTCATATGCCCCTACCTTTGTCTGAAAATGCATTGGATATAAATGTTGGACAAGGGTACTTGAAAGAAATAGTGAAGTAACATAACTAGATATTGCCAGGCTAGGCAGCATGGAAGGCAACCCATCCAAAAGATAACCTCGAAAATCAAAATGGGGATATCAAACCTTGATTGCATCTTGGAACCGGGCTGATAAATCCAGTCTTAAGTTTTGTCCTTCTGTTGATACCCGTTTACATTCATCCTGCGAAATCATGAACAAGCCATCAGAACCTTCATAAAAGAAATTATGAAAAACAACTCCAAGATGAACAAAGACCACTTTGTCATGCAAGTTGAAGATTTTGCACAGATTATGTTCAGACGCAGCAATGGGCGATCTCAGAAATTAAATATACTTGCAAGTTGCATCTAACCTAGTGCAAGGAATTCTATGCTTCTGCATTTACTGGCTTACTCCACGACTCACCCCTTTTATCTTAAGAAATTTAGAACAATGTATCTTTAGTAGCTTGATAAATGGCCCAAACCACAAAAATGGAAGGATTATTAATAAAAGGAGACTAATTTCAAGGTCGATCCATAACTCATAACCTTATTCAAACATCAACATACTAAGAAAAAATAAATAAATAAATAAATAAAGTATTCCAGGAGAATCATACCATCAACATTTTGTTTTGACGTTGTAACTCCCTACAAAGTGATTCAAGTTTATCTCGAACAGCAATAGCTTCAACAGAAGGAAAAAGAAAAAAAGAAAAGAGAAAATAAAATAAAATTATTCTCCATCATGTTAAAGATGCATAGAAACGTTTTAATTATAAAATTTTATATAAATGTCAAATTTGCCTCTTAGATATTTATATCATACAAAACTTGCTTGACTCTTAACATGCACCACCTGCATCTAAATTTTAATTGGTCAACAAATCCATGGAATGAAAATATTTGTGCCTTGTGAAGTCAAAAGAATATTCTCCTCATTATAACAATTAAGAAAATTAATGAGACCTCCCATTTTTATAAAAAAAAAACAATTAAGAAAAGAAGGAAAGAAAATGAAAGATTAAAGTGCAATAGAAATCATAAAGGAATAACTCATTACAAGAGACGACACTAAGTTAAGTTTATTGGAAATTGGGTATCATTAGGCCACAGTTCACTACGTCAAGATGGTTGAGAGAATAGTTACCTCTAATCACGTTCATGGAAAATCAACCTTTTTCATTTTCAATCTTTGATACTCAAATCTTTAAGTAAAAGAAGAAATAATATTGGCCGATGTAAATTTTGGATTTGTGACCATAACATGTAGAAAGATGAAATTACATCTACATGCAGAAATAAAAACCAGCATTAAAACTTACCGAATAAGTATCATTCTTGGCAGCATAATAGACTAATAGTAGTTCATATCTATGTTTTTCGGACTAGAATGTGACTAGAATATGGGTGTGTGTCCGACAGGAGCATGTTCACATTTTTGGAGTAGGTCACGGGTATTTCAAAAAAAAAAAAAAGCATCAGAGCAACATAGCTTTACATCAAAACAAATTAGACTACTGATATGAACTGAAAATTTGGCAGAGCAGGGAAGCTAGACCTATATATATTCATCTAATCAAATGGAAGTGACATTTCGGACATCATAACTCATAAATGTTATTTCAACTTACCAGCATCTCTTTCTGCTAGAACTTGTTGATATTTCAAAGAGAACTCAAGGAATTCCTTTTCTGATTTGAATGTACGTTTTGCATTCTTGCGTTTGGTTTCTGTAGTTTCCTGATAATAAATCGTCCAATTAAGACTACTGTGAGTTCACTATATTTGGGTGAAAGCAATATAAGATATGCACATGTAAATAAACTCAGTATAAACTAAGCCTAGATCAACAGACCGACTGTAATATTCTTGAAAATGCGTGGCATAGTGATAAACCATCACCATTGCATGTAAAGAGTTCTTCCAATCATACAAAGGGATCTAAAGAAAATGGAGATATATGAAACACTTCAGTGAAATAGATTAGTGGAGTGAAAAATAAAATTCTGAAATTCTTCAAACCGCTTATTCATCTGACACGACATTCATTTTTTCTCCTAAACAAACATTAGTTAGATCATCCTGGGTTGCGGAAAAAATTGTCATCAAGAAAAAGCATGTGAAAAGGTCAAACGTTAAGAACCGACAGAGGAAAGAAAACAAAGGAAAATATGTTTTCCTTACAAACAATAAATAACTATATGACCACTTCTTTAAAACTTAAAAATAATATTCATTACTCAACTCAAATCAAAGTGGAAGTATATAAAGATGAATATTTGGACATGTCACTGAGATTTGGCCCTCTAAATACATGAAAAAACTTTAAAAAGTTGAACATACACATGTGGGACATACCCATATCCAACACTCACCCGAATTGTAATATCGACTATCACTTGATTGAACCTTTAATATAATAGTCATTACTAAACTCAAACTGTTGATGCTCATACTAAACCCTACCAGTAACTACAAGCATAAGAATTTGAAAGAACTTAGTAAAGTACAACAAACTACTAACTGGTTTTTTATTCTTCAGCAAATCTACGCTCTCTGATGAAGACGAACCCTTCAAAGTAGTCGAGTTCATTTCCGATCCTCCTTCAATGCCTGTGAAAAAACAACCACCAACAAGCACTAAAACCCTAAAAACTGCCCTAACATTCATAAATGAAATTTAAACAGGACATTGTGAATTTTTTTTCTTCAAAAGTATGAAAAATTACATGTTTCTGTACTTTCACGCTCCCCTATAACTTCCTTCACCTCATTGCATTTGACAGCCTCGGAAACCGAATTGCTCGACACGAGACCAACTAATGTACCTTCTACCGAGTCAGATAATCCGTTGAAACCATCCGCCTCGGACAATGGCACAGGGAAATTTATTTGTTCTTGTCCCTCGTTTGCTCCAAACTGACTGGAAATTAAATCATCTTCTTTACAATCAGGTTGCAAAGGCTTTTCCTGTTCAGCAATCGGAGTTTTGGGAGCCAAAATCTCTGAAGCACTCTCAAAAAAACCATCAGGCAATGAATCCACTTCAGGAAGCTGATTTGATTCTGGGTTTTCCATTTTCTATCCAAATTTAAAAGAAAAAGTTCACTTCCGAAGTCTATTAACCAAAAAGAAATGAACCCCATTCAAAACAAGATCTGGGTTTTCATTACAAATAGGGACAACTTCAACCATTATATTGCCAGGGTCTTTTAAGATTCGAACATGTTCAACAAGGATGAATAAAATAAAATAAAATAAAATAAGATACGATAATTTACCAGATATGAAGATGAACAGAGGAAGAAGTTTTGTCGTTTTGATAATCCGTGCTTTAATTGTTCACGGCTTGTCTTTTTTCTCGTGTGAAGTGAAAGTGGGGAAGCTGCAAAATGATCCAACTTCTCTTTGTTCTTGTTTTACCCTTTTTTTTCTCCAAAGTAATCTTTTATTTTATTTTTTGAAGGTTTTTACATTAGACTACTCGATGCAATCAAAATCTTCAATGTTCAGTTTGGTTTTACGTTTTTGGTCATTTTCTTACATGTATTTGTTTTTAATTTGGCATGATGTAAAAATTAATACTAAATTTTTATTGAAAAATATTTTTTTATCTTCTAAAATATCTTAATTATTGATATTTTATTTTTAAATAAAATAATTATTCTCTCGATAAAAATTATTAATGAACTAATAATTAATGTAAAAATTAACATAGTATATTTATATGAACTTAAATATTAATGTGGTATAGTATCATATTAACGATTTTTAAATATTTATTCTAATTCAATGATATCGCGACACATCATTATCTAACCATTTATTTAAATGATAAAATATAAACAATTTTTTTTAGTTTTAGACAATAAGAAAATTTGAACACGAAGGAAAACTATTTTAATATTCAACGAGAGCTCCCTCGAGAATGTTGGTCAGAGTCAATACCGATGGTGCGGTATCTCTAATAAACAATGTCAGTTCAACAGGAGATATCTTTTGCAACAACCAAAATAACTTTATTTTGGGTTTCAATAAGTCACCCGACATTACTTCGGTGCTCCAAGCGGAGTTATGTGATATCTATGAAAGTCTCAAACTAGCATGGTCTCAAAGGTTTTAAAAAAATCTCAGCCTAAATTGATAATATAAATATCTTTAATCTCTTATCCTCGGAAAACCCGGGCAACTCCTACTCCTTAATTTGTACCATCAAACTTTAATCAACAAAATTTGATTTATAGAAATCAATCTTATCCGACACGAAATAACTAATAAAATCACCAAAGAGTTCTCTACATTAGCTAGCCACTTAAAATTTTTCGATGTTGTCCATACTTACTTTTCTGCTGTTTTTCATAGAGACGTTTATAGCCCCATGAATGTTTAGTATCAACTTGATATAATTGGTCTATGTCTCTCCTTATATTTAAAAATATATATATATATATAATAGAAAATAAAGAAAATAATTGGCTTGTTATCCCGCACAAATTAATTAAAAGTAGAATCTTTTCAGACAATGGGCTGTAATAAAAAAAAATTTGTTAAAGCCCAAAAGTTGAGACAAAAATATAGACGTATGGGGCATTCCGAGAATTGAACTCGGGACCTCTCGCACCCTAAGCGAGAATCATACCACTAGACCAAATGCCCGCGTTGAACTGCATTAGCAGTAATATTTATAACAACTAAATAGTAAATTTAGCTGTTATAAAGTCCATCGAAAGCCCAAATTCAATCTTTTAGCCTAGCAAACTTCTCAACGTTTCAGTATGGTTGAGCATAAAGGATTATATTTTAAATTTTATTTCATTTAAATTATGACTATTGAATTTATTTTGTACGTAGTATAACCTTAAATTGAGAAAAAAATATTTTAATCTTTTGACCAATAAAAATTATTATTGATTATGATAATGTTTTTGCGACCATTTATAATATTGATGCGAGGAAGTATAATGACATGATAAATGAATTTAATTAATTTTTTTTATAATTTTTGATCACTTAATTAAAATTTTAAAACGATCCTAGACAATATAAATTTCATTTTTGTTGAATAATGCCATTTCATTAAATAATTGAAGATGGATGTATTTTGGTATTTAATTATAAACAAATAATATATTTACGTTAAAAATTAAATTTTTGAGTCTATCTTTTGATACTATAATCTTTTATTTAAATTAATATGATTCTATTGAATTTTTCTTAAAATTAAATATTTTTTATTTATATTTAATTATAAATATATATTAATAATTTTCAAATAATTTTCCTTATTCATATTCGAATTTTATTAAAAGTTTATAATTCAACATGGCATGTGAACGAGTCATCATAGATAAAAGTTGATATAACTAATGGCCTTGATCCTAAAAATTAGGAAAAATTTTATTTGATTATTATTTTATTAATTACATATATATATCATATTTATGAATGATAATAAACACTGATTAAATTTAATTTATATTATATAGTAATGGATGAAAAGTAACCGATAAGAATTTGGTCTTAAAAATCGAAAAATTCGTTTTAGATCTTGTAGAATTTGTTAAGTGACCTCAAAGTGAATATTATCAACCACTCTAAAATATAAAAACTTGAAAAAAATTAATAAGGACACAATTTTTTTAGATTTTAACATTAAGCCTAATATTTTAAAAGTTTTTAATTAGATCAAACAATTCAATTAAAAAAAACTTTCAATTAAGTCTCTCATTTATTTAAAAATAATAATTATACTCATTTTTTAAATTTCTCATCCAACCTTTCAAATTTATGTAATCTTTAGACAACCCCAAATGGTTTTTGTCAAATTCGATCACTTATGAAAGACGCAGTTATGTTTTGATCATTTAAAGTATTTTTGGATGCTATAATAATGCACTTTAGGTTCAACTTTTTCTGGTGTTATCCTCTAAAAATGGCTATGGCAACCGATGTTTTTTATTTTCATTTCCCAATTTCCTCTGTTTTTCAAGCTTTTCTTCCATTGGCGAAAATTCTCTTATTTCTCTCTTGGTTTCCCCCCCTTTTTTTTAATCAACCATTTTGCATCGGTATAGATTGAAAGAGGGAAAAGGTTGCAATATCTTTAAAGAGATCTGGGAATTCCTTGGTATTGAATTTTTGTCCTGCTATACTTTTGCCTTTGATATGTTTTTTACATAAATTTATTTAAATTCTGGAAATATTTATGAGTTTTTTTTCTGCTTTTAATGAACACATTTCAATTTCAAATCTGGAATGGGAGCTGAAATTCCATGACTTTTCTTGTGTTATGAAGAAAAAAATATTGACAGATGGGAAGAAAACGAGATTGGTTGTGTGTTGTGAAGAAGGCATTTTCCCCCGACTCAAAGAAAGATAAGGTTTAGATAATTTAATTAATAAATTTCAGTCAATAATATTTATTTATTTGGTTGGTAGGACACAAGGTTCTTAACCTTGAGGTTGTGGGATCGAGTCCCGGCATTTCATAATTCGGATGTCTCCTACGGAAGCTGTTCCCAATATAGTATTAAAAGCAGTCTACTATCTTACCTCCCCTTACCCATTACATAAGAGAACAAGGGACAACCATTCCTACTATCTTACCTCTCCTTACCCCATTACATATGAGAACAAGAGACAACCATTTTTCTATAAGTACCTTTTATTTTTAATTAATTTGTTGCTATTACTGTTTTGATTGTAATTTATGGTTTGAATTTTGTTTAATCAGGAAACTTCTAAATCAAAGAAAAAATTGCTTGGCGAAAGCAAGGATTCCGTGCCTGTAGTTTCTTTGCCTAAAAGAGAACCTGAAACGCCTAAACCTACACCCGCTGAATTTGCCAAATCACCGGAAGCTCAAAATGAGCATAAGAAACAGGCCTATTCCGTCGCTCTTGCCACCGCTGCCACTTCCGGTGTTCACATCCCTTCCGAACAACACATATCACCGGAGATAACCACTACTGAAGCTATTCACGTCGCTTCCGTACAAGTCAATTCACTGGAGAAAACCGCTACTGAAGCTGTTCAAGGCAAATCCTCGGAGAAAGCCGCAACTGAAGCTGTTCACGTCACTTCCGTTCAAGGCAAATCCTCGGAGAAAGAAGCCACTGAAGCTGTTCATGTCGCTTCCGTTCAAGGCAAATCCGCGAAGAAAGCCGCCACTGAAGCTGTTCACATCGCTTCCGTTCAAGGCAAATCGTCGGAAAAAGCCGCCACTGAAGCTGTTCACGTCGCTTCCTTTCAAGGCAAATCCTCGGGGAAAGCCGCTACTGAAGCTGTTCACGTCGCTTCCGTTCTAGGCAAATCCTCGGAGAAAGTCGCCACTGAAGCTGTTCACGTCGCTTCCGTTCTAGGCAAATTCTCGGAGAAAGCCGCCACTGAAGATGTTCATGTCGCTTCCGTTCAAGGCAAATCATCGGGGAAAGCCGCCACTGAAGCTGTTCACGTCGCTTCCGTTCAAGGCAAATCATCGGGGAAAGCCGTTACTGAAGCTGTTCACGTCGCTTCCGTACAAGGCAAATCCTCGGGGAAAGCCGCAACTGAAGCTGTTCATGCCGCTTCCGCACAACGCAAATCATTGCAGAAAAGCGCTGTTGAAGCTGTTCACGCCGCTTCCGTGCAACGGAATTCATCGCAGAAAACCGTCACTGAAGCTGCTGACGCCGCTTCTGGGCAACGTAAATCATTGGAGAAAAAAGCTGCTATCAAGATTCAAACTGCATTCCGCGAATACTTGGTATGAGATACTCATTTTATGCATGTCTAATACTCTTATTCGAGTCTAAGTAATATAGTATCGTAAGTAGAATGAAACATGCCATTGATGAACAATTAGTTGTATTTGATGAATGAATCTGTCAGGCAAAGAGGGAATCGGGAGGTTTGAGAAGGTTGGAGAGGTTGAAATCGTCATTGTACCAAGGGCAATCCGTAAAACAAACGACGACTACACTGAGATGCATGCAAACTCAAGCTCGGCTGCAATCCCGGAATCGTGCAAGAAGACGTAGAATATCGGAAGAAAACCAGATGCTTCAGCAACACCTTCAAATGAAACGCGAGAAAGAGCTGGGGGACAAGAATGCATCTGTAAGTTCACATGAATTAGTTATTTTATTTTTTATTTATCAACTATTCCGGATCGGATTTTAACGTTTGGGAATTTAAACAGATGGGATCAGACTGGCATGATAGTAAAAAATCCAAGGAACAAACTGAAGAAATAAAACAGTATAGGCAAGAAGCTGCAAAGAAAAGGGAAAGAGCTTTAGCTTATGCATTCACTCACCAGGTATTGTATGAATACAAATATGTATCTGATACGAATATATTTGAGATATGTATTGAAATGAATGTTTAATACAGCGACCATGGAAGGTGTCTTCTAAAGCAGCGAGTCAGAGGTTAATGGATCAACAGAATCCCCACTGGGGATGGAGTTGGTTAGAGAGATGGATGGCAGCTCGGCCGTGGGAGATGTCAACCTCAACACCTAACAATGCACCACTCAACACTGTGACAGTCTCTTCCATCTCTAACAACGATAATAATAACAAGCCATCGCCAACACCTTCTAAATGGACCAGTCGACTTCCCGTCCGGCGATCACTTCTGAATCCGCCGTCAAAGACAGCTTCCGTTTCATCAGTTTCTAGTAAAATTAGACAGCCAAATCTAAGCGTTACAAGACCCGGAGGGAATGATGACTCCACACGGGATCACCTCCGGAGGCGACAAAGTACCATTGGAGGTTCTTCATCGGTTAGAGAAGATGAGGGCCATGTAATCTCGGCGGCAGCGGCCCCGAATTCTAAGGCGACAACGGTGGTGACCCGAGTCACGAAAACCAGGCAGTCCAGATTGTCGGGTCCACCTAGGCGTAGTGTGATACCGGAGAGAGGATTGCCCCCCGCTGCGAAGAAGCGGCTGTCGTTTCCTCCAAAAGCAAGTAATAATGTGAAACGGTCTGGTCCTCCAACTCCAATGGCGGATAATAATAATACAGTGGTTAAGTACAAGGTGAAGAAAGAAGGGAAACTGAGGAATGGAGGAGAGGCTAGCAGTGGCGGTGGAAAAGAGCTGTTATAAATGGTGGTGGCGGTGGTGGTGATGTAGTGGTAATTATGGATTGAGCGAGCGGCCATTTTGGCCGTTATTTTTATTATGATGGATATATATTACATTACTCGCAGTTTCTAATGGATAGTATTTTTGTTATAAAATCATATTTTTGTTTAAAGTTACAATTTTTTATTTTTTTTATTTCTTCTGTTATAAAATTTAATTCTAAGCTTTCAAAATAAATTTTAAAATTTTAAAATTAAATTTCATTCTTTTTTTTTAACATTATCAGAGCTTGATCATCCATTCTATTTACACTTACAACATTTTATTTAAAAGAAACAAATATCATTCATAATAAAATCAAAATTTTAAAATAAGTTGTCTTAAATCAATAGTCCTGTCCATTACACCTAAATCTAAGTCATTGTGAATAACCAACATTATCCAAGTGATTATTAACTTTAAAAACAATCAAAATGTTACAAGAACAATTTATCAATTAAAACATTAAGCTCGAAAACAAAACTACTCTTAACAAAATAATGAGACTCATTTTAGCACCCCGCTAGATTCAGTGAAAATTGATACAATCAGAATTAATTTTCAAAGACTTGAACTAAACAAACTTTTACTCTGTTGTTGCATTAACAAACAAAGGGACCTTAATTTTATGTGCAAAGTAAATATTGGATTTGTAAAGAATGGGGCTCAATTCTGTAAAACAACATAAATAACATTTGGCTAAACTTTAACATATGAATTTGAAACGAAAAGGGGCAGTTTTCGAGTTGAGATAAATAAGTTCATTACAAAAAATCCAAAACTCTAGGCTTCCAGGGAAGAAAAGTAGTGCATTGATGAAATTGAAAGCTAAATTCTTATCAGTGATCTTTTAAGACCTCGGCTTTTCCTTCTTCTCTTTGAAAAGTACTAGAAGAGACGCACCGGAAACCTTAACGACCTTAAATCTGACTCCGGGAATATCTCCGACAGTATGACCATTTCGTCCGAATCCGGCAATCAATACCTCATCCCGCACCAATTCAAAACCAAGAATGCCATTTAGAGTAGGAAACACCAAAAAAGTGAGGCACCGTCGTCACTTATCTACAACAAGCTATTTCACAATGCCGGTTAATGGAACAACATTTTGGCAACCGAGAAAATATAAACATAAATCAATGAAATTCTCTACTAAAAAGGTGAGTATAACGGTGTGACTTACATTTTCTTCAATATAGTTTAAGCAACCATCATTGGGTACGAAAGCAGCGATTTTCTTTCCATTCTTGATCAGCTGAACAAGAGCACATTTTCGGATAGCGGAGTTAGGCTGCTTAGCTTCAATGCCTATGTAAAAGCCAAATACGAAATTGTACAGTTACAAATTGGATTCAAGCACAACCTGCCAACCATATATAAAGTGCAAATTTATTCTTACATTTTCTCAAGAACTATGCCTTTGGCATGTGAAGATCCAGCAAATGGTTTCTTCCATTCATTTCCAAGATTCGATTTCTTATATGCCTTGTCGGCCCACCTCTGCCTTCTGCGGTGGGTCCTCAGCTTACGACCAGCTCCCATTCCACGAGTCTTCCTGCACAAAGCTCCGTTTTTAAAACATATCTCCAAATAATACAACATGAATCACCCTAAGAAGGCTTAAATAAGGTTGACACTGTTCGATCTCAGGGGGAAAAAACAAAACAAAACAAATAATGTGTGACATTCTGGGTTATCAAAACCAAACCAAATACCATACATACCCAAAACCAACCCGAAATACTACAGTTCAACTCGTTGGTTGATCGATTAAAATATTCTATTTCCTTATTGGCATTCTGAAGTTTTTTTTCCCATCAATTTAGAAATAAAATACTTAATTTTATATTGTAAAGAATATCAAACAAATAAAATTAAACAAAAATATAATTCAGTTCAGTTCAGTTAGAATATTGGCAAATTTTCAAATTACAAACTAAAAACATAACCAATATATTAATAAAAATCAGAACCAAACACTAGGACAATCATGGAGAAAAGAAGCGCCAAATATACAAAATATAAAGAAACGGAATGATTCAAAAGTTCATCAATCGGTTCTTTTGACAAATGCTTTGAGTAAGATCCTGACCCTAATCACAGATACTAACCTAGTTTTTCACATTCCATTGCTGCTTCTACAATTTTACCATTAACCAAACAGGTAATCGAAGACGTTTTCACCCACAAATTCGGCAGTTTTCTCACTAACCAAACACCCAGAATAACAAATGATTGACCCACAAAACATCTAACCGTATAAATCAGATTATAAGTACTATTTCACTGAAATAAACAAAGGGATGTCAAAATTGATTCACAAAGCCAGCATTCTTTTATATGCAATGGTCAACCTGAAACGAGCAAAAAAAATAACAATTTTAAAAATAAGATAAAAAAAATCTGACCCCATTTTCATTGGTGGTGGAAAAGCTTTACTGACACCGAAATCTGAAAGTTAGAGACTGAAGGAGAGAGGACGAGCCGGCTAAAGTGTAAAATGGAAACCCTTTCAAGCGCGGTTGATTTGCCTTTATATATTTCAATTTTTAGGGTTTCGATCGCATTTTACGAATTACTCTATCAACGGTTCAGATTTGAAGTAGAGGAGATGGTTTGTTAGATTACACGTGTCTCAGGCATAGTAAGGTGATGACTAGACAAGATCCAATCGACTGAAGTTAGTCTTATTGTAAAAACATATCACAATCTCATTCGACTTGAGAAATATATTTTTCACACGAATGTGACTCAACTTGAATTGTTGGGTAAAAATATGTATTCGTATCGATCCGATAAAATATATATAAAAAATTATTCAATAAAATATGAATTAAATATTTTTCATTCTAAATCTAAACTCAATCGGACTAGATTTCACAATCAATAAAAGTCAATTAAATTCAGATCTACTTATTTAAAAACAATATTGATCTTATCAAATCAGATTAAGTCAGAAATATATTGAATCCAAATTAAATCGTCATCTCTAATTGTATATTATAAAAAATAAAAAAAATGAGGTAATAAATAATAATATTTTTTTGAATTAATCATTGCTATCCGATCTATTGATTCACTAATCCGGATCGGGTAATACAAAGGCAAGGATGATCCTCCCAACCCAATTTGTTCCATTTGCAAATGCGAAGGTTCGAACCCCGGACCTTACTTAAAGGAATCTAATGTCTATCTCACTAGATCAACTGGTTGTTGGTAAACGATAATATTTTTTAATGTCAACTATGATCTAAATCTAACAAACAAAACTTAAATACGAGAAATAAAAATAATATTAATGCAATTTTAGTTTGATCGGTATCTTTTTAGAGTTCATAAATTTAAATATAAATTTATTTAACTTAAAAAATTAAGAGTATTGCGAACAATTTGAATTTTTTAAAAGTAATTTGAGTGATTACAAAATATTATCAAGAATAAATTATATAATTGATCAATTTCGTTTAAGTTTTATACAATTTTCTTTATTGACTTAAAAAATATAATATTTGAATACTTTCGTTTTTATTTAATTAAGATGTGCTCACCGAGAGTTAAATGTCGTTAGACCTTTAACGAAGTACTGACGTGACACAGTAAATATATAAAATTTAAAAAGATAAACTATACAAATGGTCACTAATGTTTGAGTTAATTTTTGTTATCCCACAAAATTTTAAAGTAATAAATTGATTATTAAAACATTAAATAGTCCATTTGAACAATGATTTTATATTTAATTTACTTTAAAAACTTTCTATTTTTTATTTTTTGTCAAACGCTTCACCATCTCCACTAACGTGAACCACCCTTCATCCAACACCAATCCAACACGGCTTGTTGATCGCACAATGAAACTGTTTGGTGATGAGATGTTTGGAAAAAAATGAAAATTAGAAAATTTTGGGGTAAATTAGATATAAAATAATTGTTTAAAGATTCATTTGATGTTTTAGTGACCAATTTGTTACTTTTGAAACTTCTTTGGGAAAACAAAAACAGAAAAACTTAATCAAATATCGTGACCATTTGTGCAGTTTACCCTTTTTAACTTTATATATTCATTGTGTCATGTCAGCAACCGTTAAAGGGGTAGTTAACCCTCAATTATCACATCTTGATTAAATAAAAACGAAAGTGATCAAATATTATATTTTTCGAATTTAATAAGAAAAAATGTACAAAACTTAAACAAAAGTGATCAATCATGTAGTTTACCCTATTATCTATTAAAAAATTTAATCTACAACATATAAATATAATTGTTCAAACTTAATTTTTGTGTGTGAAGAGAACAATATTTCATTGAAAACACTTAAATAATGAATGGCCCAACTCAAATCTAATAATTAATTTAGAAGTTTTAATTATTTTTATAATTTTTTTGGTACTAAATATAAATTACACCAATTATGGGTCAATGCTCACCTCTACCGATTATTACCGAGGGTGTTTAACCTAGAAAAAAAATAATGATAATTTTAATTTACATAGTGTGAATAATGGACAAAATTATTCGGATATTGTTACGATTTTTTTATCTAGTGTATGAGCAGAATTATTTTTTTAAGTAGAGTAATTATTATAGTGTACATTGCTGGTCGTGCAGATGATACATTGAAGGTCCTAACTACATGTATATGCGAAAGTTTGTAACATTAATTTATTCTTTTAAAACGGTCATTTAAAAAAAATTGAGTTTTTCTTTCAAATTCTCATTTGGTTCCCAAGGAAGTGTATGGAAATTGAGCTTATTTTTCTCAGGTGTAATTTTGGAGTAGCATTTGATAACGGCGGTGTTATTCTTCGTGGCCGTGTTCTCATCGGAAGTTCTCCACAAGCTTTGAGAAGATTGTACGGAGATTCCGGGTACTATTAAGTGTTTTCTACTGATTTACTTTTTCAATATCATGAACTTTGTGTGGTTGAATTGAAATGCAAAGAACATTATGCAGAGAAATTTTGTTAATCAATTTTTTTTTTTTTATTTCTGCAGGTGAATAGAGTGCTCCAAAGTGAGCCTACTTTAGCAATATTGATGGAATCCTAACGATTTATATCGACGACAGTATTTGTTTAGCTTTTATTTGAAGATGTTATGTTTAAGTTACATATAATTATGGTTTGGTGTATCAGTTGTTGAAAACTATGAACTTAGTTGGCATTGTTTGGATCCAATTGCCGAAGCCAAAACCTACACAACATTTTTTGTAGTATGAGTGTTACTTTATGTCATTGGTATAGTTAGATGGCTGTGTGATTTGAACAGGAGATGTCCCAGAAACTAAGACAGCGAAGGAGTTAAAGTGAACCTTTGGGAGTAAATATTATGGCTTCGCAGGTAAATGTTTAGGATTTCTATATGAATGTAGAGTTTTCCATCTTTGATGTCCGTGTGTTTGACAAATGGATTGTTGCCATTTTCTTGTGATGCAGGTTGCACAAGGTCACTCACCTTTTATAAATTTATTGAAGAAGTTACTAGATATTGACTTTCAATGTGTTTTTGATTTTGACATATCTGAGTTTAAATGATCGTCAAACCTTGCAGCATATTTACTTGAATCACCTTCTTCTATTTTAGATTTTGATTTGGATGTCTGCTTATCGTCTAAGATGTTAAGGAGGGGTATTTGAATGAATTAGCAACTTGGTAAGCAAAAATTGAGATTGTTGTTTTATGAGGTATGGAATTGGATTGTATGCAAGTTCACTGTGCAGTTTGGATTGGTAAAAAAGAAAATCAAAGAGTTACAATGAGGATGACTTTGATTCTCTTCCATATTATTGAGTGGTAGTAAAGAAGATGAATTAGAGGAGTAAACCGTGGAGTTGCTAAGTTCCCATTATGAGGATTTTATAGTTCTACGAGATATTTTAGGTTTTTGTTCTTGGTTTTATTGTAGTGGATAAGTTGGGTGAATCAGAATCAGAATCTAATCAAATATTATCATGTTTTATGACATATTATTTAGAATGACCTGTCTAACTGAAAGGAAGTGATTTGTTTAATTTCTCTGTCGAGAATATGGAATCCTATTTCTTTTGCTGCTAAATCTCTTTTCTCTTGAATATTGACATTGGTAACAAACTACCCCATGTATTTCTCAGTTAGCCCATATTTGCTAACTTTGTCGTCTCTAAGTCAGATTTGAGAACGAACTCATTATTGCCATCGGAAAGGGGGACCCTGCTTTGATGATGTCTGAGTATGGTTCCAAGTAAGGGCTCAAATGTAATGTTTAGGTCCGTAAAACTCCTGATTTTCATAGCATATATTGTTAGATTATTCGGAAATATATATAGCTAAATTGTTTGGTGATAGAAAAGTTTAGTCATTCAAAGAGTTTGCGGCTTACTTTGAGAACATAGACCCTGTATCTCAATATAAGAGATGAGCAACTATGCCACTGTCAGATAGGAAGGCGCCGATAGTGCCAAGATATGATGTTTCATCAGAGAGGTTTAAAACAACATTTGTTGTCCGTGATCATGTAGACTGGGGCAGGGACATTCAGGTATTTTGCTTTTGTTCTACTTTTGAATTAAAACTTTAATTCTTTGTGCACTTTGAATCTCATGTAAAAGTCCATTGAATGATCAAATTCGAAACTGTCTATTAATTTGGTCTGCCATTGTGCAACATTTGGAATGCCTAATGGGACTTGGATCTTGCTTTTGCTGAAAGTTGCAATTTAACTTCTAAATTCTAATTGTGACAGCGGTAAAGCTGTAATTACTCAACCTCCTAGTATTTGCATCCCCATGAACAAAGTAAAAGTAGTGCACTAATGTTGCTCTGACTCTTCATCTTTCTTTGAAGTACTTGTATATATCTCTGGCATTTGATATAAATTTGGACATGGGTAGGAGATATGATTCTCCAACTTAAATCAAATTAAATAATGAAATTTCACAACATCAATTTTCACATGATTTAATAATGATATATATATATATATAAGTTGAATCAAATTATAGTTTAATGTATGGAAATGCATTAAATTAACGTTCATGTATATAATTATACGTGTCATGAATGCATAATGGCAGCACTTTACTTCACTACCCACTTTGCCATCATAGATATGTAATTTTAAAAATTATTATTACATTTTTTTTAATCACTAGTATATAATCTATTAATCAACTATTTCGGGTTAGATCTTACAAATATTCATTGCTAGAGTGATCATTTCAACTCAGTTTACTCTATTTACAAATGTCAATATTTAAACTCTTGATATTATTTAATAAATTTAATGTCTTATTTTTAACGGTGAATACACCTATTTTCTTCTTATACCATCTCGTCTTTATTTTAATTTTATAATTTTTTAATATTTTCAATTAAATAAGTAATTTTTCAAACATAAAATATAAGATAATTTAATTCTTACCGTTATATATATACAAGATAAAAATGTAATTTTGCATTAGGAATAAATTAGAGTGCAATAAATAATTAACAATCCATTAAAAGGATTCAGATTTTATCATCCCTACATACATTTATTAAATCAATTTTGAAGTATGAACGTAGAATATTTCAAGATGTATATATAAACGAAATGGTAAGGTCTCAGTCGTAATTTCAGGACAATCCCTTATCTAAGGAGAACAAGTGCTGTTCAGTTGTAAGTTATTAAAAAGAAGCAGATAAGCCCCTTTCAACCCCAATTCCTTTCAATCTTCTCTTTTTCCGCCATGGAAATAGCTCTCCTTTCATTCCCTTCATTCAAACCCCCGCCTTCCCAAACCCTATCCCTTAAACCCACCGCCCCGTTCCTCCGATCCTCCAAACCCACATTCCTTTCCTCCAAACCACCGTCATGCCCTTCCATCAGAGCCGCCATTTCCCGGACAAAGAAAGAAGAAACAGTCGAAACGGTCAAATCCCAGTTAGAGAACTGCTACCTCTTGGCTGCCGTGGAATACAAGGGCTTCACCGTCAAACAATTCCAAGATTTGCGTCAATCGCTTCCCGAGTCATCGAAACTACTCGTCGCTAAGAACACTCTGGTCTTGAAAGCCATCGAAGGGACTCCTTGGGAGGCATTGAAGCCGTGTATGAAAGGGATGAACGCTTGGCTCTTCGTTCACACCGAAGAAATCCCGGACGCACTTAAACCTTACAGGACGTTCCAGAAGGAGAAGAAAGTTGAAAATGACTTCACGGGGGCTGTTTTCGAAGGGCAATTTTATGGGCCGGACGATTTTAAACAGCTTGAAAGTATGCCTACCAGAGCTGAGATTTACGCTAAGCTTTTGGGGAGTTTGCAGAGTCCTGCAATTGGACTTGTTGGGACACTTCAAGTTCCTGCGAGAGATGTTGTTATGGTTTTAAAGGCTTATGTGAAGAAGCTTGAAGAGGAAAGTGGGGGAAATTAATGAAGATTGCTTTGTAAGTGTAATTGAAGAAAAACCCACCTTTTTTTTCTGTTGTATTTAAAAGAGAATTCTTATAATTTGTTCTTTTACTTTTGTAGAATCATGTAATCTTGGAATTCGAATTGCTGAAGTTAGAATCACATTGCAAGTTGATTTTTTTAGTTAATACTTGGTTTTCTTCATTTTCTGGTGTATTTTAGTCATGTTTATTTCGAGCTCTCTTAAGACTTTTGAGCATTAATACTTTAGAACAATGAAGAATCAGGTAGCATAGAGGGATAGGTATGAGATTTAGGCAACAGAAGATAGTTATATTACTTGGATTTTGGTCAACATGAACAGTTGGAGTGACATGGGAAGAGCTAAGAATTCGAGTAGGGGAAACTGGGAATACTTTTTGTTTGTTGTTGGTGAGTTTTGTTCCTGCTTACAATCTGCATTTGGTTTGAACTCATCTGATCTTGAATGCTAATGCATGAATTTGTTGTTAGTCTAGTGGATTTTGTTATTCTTCATTGCATGCATAAATTAAGCTTGTGTTGGATTTTTCTTTTTCAATGATCGGAGTGCTATTTGGGATTTCATGAGGGTCTCGTACAAGGGAGGTTTTTTATTCTAAATCAAAGAGGTATACCTTCCCATCACAAAATCTTGGGGTATACCGTTTACCTTTGATGTCAGAGTACATAGGGTTGAATCTTTTTCTTGAAAAAAATATTTATATTTGAAATGAAAATAAATAATTATTGAATTATCTGAACAAAATATACTTTTTAAAATCATTTCATTATTATACCTTTTCACTGTACTTTAAAATTTATACTAAATTAACCCTAAAGTATGTTTATTTTAAACTAATTTCCATCGTAATTACCCTCTTTTATTGAGTAAAAGTTAAGCGGTCTTAGTGGTCGTTCAAATGATTGTTTTCTTTTAAAATTATGGGTTCAAACAATGATCTTATTGAGTGGTCTACAAGGTATGTATATGTCGTTAATGGCTAAGAATACGACTCAATATTACATGAATATTTAAATAAAATAAAATAAGTTATACAGAATATTTAAGGGTCCGTTTGTTTAACGTAAAACGTTTTCCAAAAAATGTTTTCCTCATTTTCCAGTATTTGGTTGGAGGAAAAGTAGTTGGTCAACGTAAAATATTTTTATGATCAACAGAATTTCCTTTGTATTTTCTGGAAAATGACTTACTGTCTGATTTTCCGTAAGTCATTTTTCGAACATTTCACTTCAAAGAATAAATACTCAAAATAAATTTATTTTATGAATTTAATATTAATAAAATAGTTTAATATCATTTTAATCAAAATATTAATTATTAAAATATTTAAAATACATTTATTAATATTTATAATAATATAATATAATATTTTTATTTTAATAATATATAATAAATTATTAATAAAATTTATATTATTTATTAATTTCATAGAAATAATATTATTAAATTATTAATAATGAATAATATTATTTATATATTTAATAATAATATAATAATCTAATTATATTTTAATAAAGATATTTAAAATATACTAATTAATATTTTTTAAAATATAATATAACACTATTACTTTAATAATAATTAATATAATTTATAGTATTTTTATTTCAATAAAATATATTGTAATAATATTAAGTTTTATGATAAATAATATTATTTATTGTAGTTAATATTTATAATAAATAATTTTTTTAAAAATTTATCAACTAGTGGAAAAAGGGTTTAAACAACATCTTCAAAATATCGTAAAACGTTTTCTAGAAAATATTTTCCAGAAGATGTAATTCATTTTAAAATGTTTTCAGTAAAACAAATGAACCCATTTTACTCTAAAGTGTTTTCCAAAAGATGTAATTCATTTTTAAAAGTGTTTGCTTACTTGAATTAAAAATATTTTTTTAAAGTAAAATTTTTAATTTTTAATTTTTCCCAAAATAATATTGAGCAAAACTACTCATATGTCATTTATATCACAAATCCTATTGTATTTTTAAAAACTTTTAAAATATTTATTTATTTACTTAAACATATTTTTTACAATACTTATACATACCTACAATTTAATAATTTTAAAATAATTTTAAAAATACATTAAAAATTCTTTAAAATTAAAGTCAAATTCGCTATCCTTTATTTATACATACCTACAATTTAATAAATTAAAACATTGTCCTTTCAACTTAAAAAATTACACAATTGATAATAATTTTGATACAATCGAGTACATATAGATATTTACTTTTTGAGTTGAAACCAAAATAGTTCTATAATTAATATGATTTGTTATGAAGAATATAATATTTTTAATTTCAACATGAAATATTCTAAAAATGTATACTTTAATAAAAATTTCAATTATAATCAATTTTTACTTTATTTTAATCTTGTATTAACCGATTGTATTTTAAATTTATCCCTTTTATCTTTTTATTTTGAATTGGTTTTCTTCACTTTGATTACTGATCGTGAATAATCAACATTGGAAATGAGAAAAATATAATAAATTTTAGGTTAATATTTTATATTTTTAATTATATTAAAATATTTTTTATAAACTTGGACAAAATTAAATTGAGTTGGTCTATTATTAATTTTAACCGAAATGGTTAACTGTAGGCAGTATAAGCCGCCCTTTTTCTAATAAATGATTGGGTAAAGTATAGTAATGGTCACTGAACATTTCCGAAACTTGCATTTAGGTCCCCCAACTTTTAAAACTTGCAATACAATCCCCCAACATTTATTCCGTTTGCAATATGGTCCCCCAACTTAAACCACCGTTAGAAATTAGGGTAAATTATATAAAAGGTTATTGAACTTTTCAGACACTTGAATTTAGGTCCCCCAACTTTTAAAACTTGTAAAACAGTCTTCAATTTCATTCTAAACCCCAATTTCCAAAGTAATTCAATTTCATTCTAAACCCTAAATTCCAAAATAATTCAATTAAATTCAATTATGTCAGATTTATTATTATTTAATTTCATCTTATTTCATGTGATAAATATTTTTTATATAAATATAATAGTATAATTCTTATCTGTTGAAGAAATTTTTTAATTAAAAAAAGTAGTTAGGATATAAAAGAGTGTTGAGTTAATCGATCGACGGAATCGGCCAAGAGGGGGGTGAATTGGCAATTAAAAATTTCGTGGAAGCTTTTGCAGAAAAATTGAAAGTAATTGCACAGCGATTTACAGTGGTTCGACTTTCTCAAACAAAGTCTACGTCCACTACCTTAGCTATCCACACTAAGGATTTTCCAACAAATTCACTAATTTGTTCTTTCTTTTGAGGCCAAAGAGATAACCTTACAAAATCCCTCAAGAGTATACCCCAACTCTTGAGAACACTCTTTTTTCCAAAGAGAAGATTACAAATTTGCAAACTTACAAGAAAACCTCACAAGGTAAGATGTTTGCACAATTCTAGAACAAGAAAAGAACACTCAAAGATAATTACAAATGAGCACAAATGGTGTTCTTGAAAGCAAATTGAATATTGAAAGGAAAATTGGCTTGATTTGCACAAACTTGGTGTTTGATGCTTTCTCTCTTGTTTCTCTATGATTTCTTATTGATCAAGGGCTTCAGAACTTGTTTAAATATACCTTGAATCACTTCTGAATGTTGGGAATAATTAATGAAGATAATATAGTCGTTTTAGTGTGAAAACAATTAATAAAATAGCTTGGAGCGTGGGGGGAATCGGTTCCCCCTCATAGGGAATCGGTTCCCTAAGTGTAAAATTCAAATATTTCGACCGTTGAACAGGGGGGAATCGGTACCCCCTATGGGGGAATCGGTTCCCTCCGAGCATTCTGGAAATCTCGGAGCCAAACCGTTCAGGGGGGAATCGGTACCCCCTTGGGGGGGGGGGAATCGGTTCCCTCTGAGCAATCTGGAATTTTTTGGCTTTGAAATGGTTCGAAATACTTTGAAAGATTATTTTGAAATTGTTTTAAGATTAAAACTTAATTTTACACTTAAGTAAGGATTAAAAATGATTTTTGAAATATTTTGAGTAATGTTTTGATATTCGAATAATTATATCGAATATACTTAGATAATCATTTTGGAAAATCTTAAAATTCATTTAACTTAATTTGTTATATCGAAATATCAAAATATTTTCAACAATCTCCCCCTTTTTGATATAACAAAACATTTTAGTAATTTTAAGATTTTGAAATCAAGTTTTGAAATTACTCCCCCTTACTTTAACACTTCTCCCATTTATCATTTTAAAAACGCACTTAAAACACTTAAAACACACTTCTCCCCCTTTTTGTTAAATCAAAAAGATTCAAATAAACGTGAAGAATATTAAGCCAATTGATTAGGTATATGTATGTATAAGCTGCTAAGATCACAATTAAGAGAAACGTTAGCCATTAGTTCCGTAATCAATATTCATAAATAACGTGATATGGCAAAATTGGTCATATTGCTAATAATGATGTAAATGATGCAATAACGAATAAAACACACCAAACATATAAGTTCACACCATCAATAAATCCAAAATCCAATAATCCACAAAATCAAACAATTCAAAAATGTTGAAACAATATTCATTTTGTTCAAAGTTTTTAAGCTAAACACAAAATCAAGCATCCGGATCTGTAGGAGGAAAACGGGCTCGCATAGCAGCCATTTCGTGAGTGAGTTCATTAATACGAGCGTTGGTTGCTTCATTATTTGCACGTATTTCCCGAAGAATTTCTAATTGTTGAGCTCCCATTGTGGATAAATGAGACTCTATAAAAATAAAGCGCGAATCCATGGTCGCATATCGGTAATCAAATGTCTCTATAAAAGATTGAAAATATGGAGGCATTTGAGTCGATTGTTGTGCTTGCTCTTCGGGCTGCTCCTCGGCCTGCTCAGGTTCAGCTTCAGCTTCATCGATGTCTCGCATTAGTTGCTCAAGCTCGAGATCTTCGTCAGCTTCGGATGGAGCTCGTGAAGAACTAGCTCCCGGAGAAGTTGCAGAAGATCGAACCCATTCCCT